GGAATATGGCATGTGGGGTTTGTAATGGGAAAAACAAAGCTGGCTCCTTATCCCATGCACACTGTTCCACGCCTAGAGTTGTGTGCCGCAGTCTTGGCAGTTGAACTGGCGGAACTGATTCAATCTGAAATGGATATAGAGTTGAAAGCAGTCAGGTTCTATACAGACAGTCGTGTCGTGCTGGGCTACATCCATAACAGATCAAGAAGGTTCTATACCTATGTAGCAAACCGAGTAACTCGCATTCGGAGCTCCACCAAACCCACTCAGTGGCAGTACGTACAAACCGATGAGAACCCTGCCGACCATGGAACCAGGCCGTTTCCAGTGGCTTACCTGGCCACATCCAGTTGGTTACTTGGTCCTCAATTTCTCCGCCAGCCAAACGCACGTCAAGAGGATGAGGCAGAATCGTTCGAGCTAGTGCAGCCAGATACAGACAAAGACATTCGGCCTGAAGTCACCTCTCTTGCAACCAAAGTTACAGAGCAGTCTTTTGGATCACAAAGATTCGAAAACTTCTCTACCTGGAAGAGTCTGGTAAGAGGCATGACAAGTCTCATTCATGTAGCAAAGTCATTCTCCGGTGGGATTAAGAATGATGGATGTAAGGGATGGCATCAATGCAGGCAGCAGCACCCCACAGAGCGATATCAAGCCAAGACAGTTATCCTCAGAGCAGTGCAAGAGGATGTGTATCAGGAGGAGCTAAAATGTCTAACTCAGGGTATCAAAATTCACCACCAAGGCCCTCTTGTAAAGTTGGATCCTTTCCTTGATGAGTATGGACTGCTCAGAGTGGGAGGTCGGATACACAAAGCAGATCTGAAAGATCAAGAGAAACACCCATTAATCCTTCCAGCTAGACATCATGTCACCACTCTCTTAGTCCGGCATTATCATGATGAAGTGGCACACCAAGGTCGCCACTTTACAGAGGGTGCAGTACGTGCCGCTGGAGTCTGGATAGTAGGAGGGAAGAGGCTCATCTCCAGCATTATATACAAATGTGTCACCTGTAAGAAGTTGAGGGGCAAGCCTGAAGTTCAAAAGATGTCTGATCTGCCCACTGACAGGGTGGCTATGGACCCGCCTTTCACCCATGTAGGACTGGATGTTTTTGGTCCATGGAATGTTGAAACCCGGCGGACACAAGGTGGTGCTGCTGAGAGCAAAAGGTGGGCTGTCATTTTCTGTTGCCTAAGTACTAGAGCCGTCCACCTGGAAGTCATTGAATCTATGTCGACCTCAAGCTTCATCAACGCCTTGAGGCGCTTCCTGTCCATACGGGGACCTGTCAGACACCTCAGGTCAGATAGAGGCACCAATTTCATTGGTGCATGCAGAGAGCTTCAGATTAACACTGGCGACCCTGAGGTCAAGAACTACTTGCAAGACCAGGGCTGTACATGGACCTTTAATGCTCCTCATTCTTCACATATGGGAGGAGCTTGGGAGAGATTGATAGGAGTGGTTAGAAGGATTTTAGATGCGCTGCTGGTGAAGGATGGAGCTTCCAGACTTACCCATGAAGTCCTAACAACCTTGATGGCTGAGGTTATGGCCATTATGAATTCCAGACCACTGGTCCCAATCACATATGATGCAGAGATACCTGAGATACTCTCGCCTGCCATGTTATTAACCCAAAAGGCAAGTGTTACTCCTGCTCCCTTAGGGGATTTCAAATTGGACCACCTTTGTAAGGGACAGTGGCGCCAGGTCCAGAGCTTGGCGGACTCCTTCTGGAAAAGGTGGAGGCTGGAATACTTGGCAACTCTTCAGCCACGTAGAAAGTGGACCAGGGAGAAGCATAATCTCCAGGAGGGTGACGTTGTTCTGATAAAGGATGTTCAAGCAAGACGCAATCAGTGGCCTCTTGGATTGATAGTTGAGGCCATTCCCAGCTCTGACAGCAGGATCCGTAAGGTTATGGTGAAGACCTTTAGCCAAGGGACAATTAAGGAGTATCTTAGGCCAATTAGTGAGGTTGTGTTACTGATACCAAAGGGAAAAGAGTAGACAGTGGTATAAAATAATTATACCAAGCGGGGAGTGTTCTGACTCCTATCAGTGCCAGTGCTTTAGCGACATCTGGTGGTATTTAGAGTCATTGCGCTTATAAGGAGATCGACAACAGGTGTACATGCAGACTGAATGCTCCTCCACTAACGTTATTTGTCTATCCTTGGAATAGATCCATCATTTTACAAAAAAGGAAACAATCAAGATTTCAGTAAAGAAAACACTCAACCTGGAGTCAAGCCTACTGAGTCTTATTGTCAATGTTCGCTATCTGTCTAACAATACAGTGACGTATCTGCCAGGACAGAATAATAATGGTCTGTCATTACTATGTAACTATGCAGGAAGTAATGCAAGACAAATGAGTAGTTCTACATTAACACTTCAGATACTATAAACTAATATGGAAACAAGCTTAACTAATCAGTGAGTAATAGCACATTTAGGACTGATAAACCGATTCATTAGGTATTCAATAATTACTGAATGAGCTTAGCCTCAATATCAACTAACCATGAATATCTATAAAGAATTTCCAATTAATTCCTAATCACAACATTATTGTGTGTCTAAGACTAAATAAATGGTCTTTACTCTGAATATAGTCAAAAAAATGCATCACTTAGTTAAGTTTTACCTTGCGACAAACTACTAGTGATCCGGACCATTATTTTTAGTAAAAAATACTATTTTATGACTATATTCAGAATGAAAAAGGCAATTACTTATGAATTAGGCTGTGTACAACTGGTATTAAAGGGATAGTTCACTCAAAAATGAAAATTAGCCCATGATTTAATCACCCTCAAGCCATTCTTGGTGTATATAACATTCTTCTTTCATTCTTCTTCTGTTGTTTTAATACGTCTCTTCTGTCCTGATTTATGGGGAGAGTCTATGGGAGGGTAAATGCATGGGCTTTTTCAGATCTTTCGATCTACTGGACAAAATATGTGTGCGCAATTTACATATGAACAGTAAAATAAGAGAGCAGCAGTTTAAGTTTCTGCCCTGACAACCACAAGACCAGCCGAATGCTGCGTGTGTGTTAGAAATCAGGAATGTTGAGAGAACATTGTGTTTAGTACGTTTGGGTCTATGTGATGTTTTTTAATATGCTTTAAGACAAACCATGTTCAAATTAATGAGTCATCAGCGATGCTGAGTATTTTTTCTTTAAAACTGCAGTGAACCAGAGACAGTCTTAAGAACGCGGTTTGAAATCTGTGGTTTCTGATGTCACAAAGTACCTTTAAGGTCAATGTACCACCGGGCTTTAGCATATCATTCATTGCCTGCTGCAAATCAGGAGAGTCTCAAGAGAAGCCAGGTTATCCTTGTGTATTGCTAAATGTAGGCTACCAGAGTTTTCATATCAACAGAACAAAATGAATTGTGTCTGTATTTTCCGATGTTATAATAAACTTCATATATGGCTTTCTCCACTGACGTTCTAAGTTGTTCAAAGCGTTTCTAAGGATACTGGTTGTTAGAAGGTATGACTGTCTGACTCTGAGGTGGTGAATGGGTTTGTGTAACATTAGCAAAACATTATTAGCGGTTTGATAACATAATCAAGCAAAAGGCTAATCCCATTAACTACAGTTATGTGTATGACGTTGTAGAGAGCAATCCATAAAATGCATTACCATTCTGATACACTGGCTTGTAGATGAGCCTGTATAAATTTACTCTTCCACTTTAAAAGACATCCAGCGATCTGAGTTGGTTTGAGTGAGTGGAGGTGGGGCTAATTTGCATATTCATAGATCCCCATAAAATAAGGCAAGGTTGTGGAACAGGGGTGTCCAATCCTGAACTGTCCAGCATAGTTCATCTCCAACCCTAATCAAACACACCTGAAGCAACCAGTTAAGGTCTTCAGCATCACTTGAAGCCTGTTATCAGCTGTCAATCAAAGTTAACCACCCTTATTTGTCATACATTTTATATCTAAATACGATCTAAAGTATTGAGTTAGAAAAAAATTCACCCCCCTCACAGTTGTCAGACACTCGGAACCTATCCAAAAATACAATAAAACTCCATGGGACCAACCTGTAAAAGCATGAATTAATGCTGTGAAAACGGACATTTTAACATGCTGTCGATGGATATTTGCTCCCTTTTGGGACCGGCCACTAGTGGATTTTAGATGTATTGCAGTTTTTCGCACTTCTGGGTAGGCTTCATTTTTCAGATTAGAATGTTGCTGCTTGAGAGACAGGCATCTATTTGGGACTCGGCTATTATTTGAAGTTTTACGTTAAATCTCTTGAATCTATGAATTACGTGAGATTGGCTATGAGTTACGTACAGGCGCATTTGATAGACATTCGTAGCACCCAATAATACGGCTCTGGGCATTCGTAAACCACGCCTCAAATACGAGAATATGAACATGTGGTTTCCAGACCACGTTTCATTCTCAATGTTACATGGTCTGACATTAGTCAGTCTATCAACGCATTCTCACCCCAAGGCGTCACCTTTGACCATGCTTCAATATTTGACATTTTAGGCGCCCTTTAGTGTCACTTACATGACGCAATCCTACGGCGTCATCTAACTGACGCTAAAGGAAAGCGTCAGTTAGATGACGCGGTTAGGTTTAGGTCTGGGGTGGGGGTAGGGAATACGCGATCCTAGGGCGTCATCTAACTGACGCTAAAGGGCGCCTAAAGCGTCAGATATTGAAGCATGGTCAAATGCTTCCCAAGGCGTCAGTTAGGTGACGCCTTGGGGGTGAGAATGGGCTGAGTCTATAGGGGGAGAGCAATCTTTAAGTAATTCTTATAGTTCTTCATGGTTAGTTGATAGTTATTGAGGATCATCACATTCAAAAATTATTTATTACCTAATAAAGGAGTATCTCTGCCCTAAATTTGCTATCACTTACTGATTAGTTAAGCTTGTTTCCATATTAGTTTATTATAATATCTGAAGTGTTAATCTAGTACTACTCATTTGTCCTGCATTACATAGTTTCTTATTATTGACAGACCATTATTCTAAAGTGTTACCAATTTCATACGTGAATCAAACATGTTTACACACCGTTGATGATCAGCAGTACAGTCTGAAGCTCAGATGAGAGTGTGATGTAGCACGTGTATTTTCCAGCATCAGTGTGAGTGAGATTGTTGAGTTTGATGGAGAAGTTTCCTCTCAGATACACATCAGGCAACCTTTCAGTTCTGTTCGTGTAACGAGGGTCCTGTTTCTCTAGTGAATCTTCACCCTTGACTATATCATACACATTCTTGCTGCCATTGTGTCTCCAATGTACATCAGTGTCTTGAGGTTTAGGATCATGTTCAGAGGAAGAACACGGCAGGAGAGCAGAACCACCAATAACAGCCGTTACTGTTTCCTGCAGAGACACTGAAATGACAAAAACGGTAACACTTTAAAATAATGGTCCGTAGTTAACAAGTATAGGAAGTAATAGGTAGTACTGCATTAACACCGAACTTAATACTATTAACTAATATGGAAGCAATATTAACTAAGCATTAAGTAATAGGTAATTTAGTACAAAGGTAGTTCCTTGGTAGGTATTTGATTATTACTAAAGAAATTATATCCTCTTTGAGAACTACTTGTGAACTAAGAAAACTAATCACAAAAGTAACATGTCTAAAAAGTGAACAATTGTGGGGGTTTAACATGGTCATAACATTTCAGGAGCATGTGCCTCAAATGGGTTCTTTGTGGAAACCAGTTTATGAAGTTTATATATCCCCCCCAAATACATTAGCTAGGTTGAGATTGTGACCACTACTCTTGCCAGGATGGACGCATGTTCTCTGTTTATTTAAAACTTAAACATAAAATAATCCTAATAAAGACAGTTTTTAAAAATTAATCTTAAATAATTAGGAAGTGATGCTGACACTCTCATGAATGGATTAGTTCACTATTATGAGCTCTATTGAATGTCAGTCACATATATCACATATATATGCGCTTATCGTAACATAAATGCAGCTAATTTCTTCATTAAAGATGCTAATTGTTTTTGACAAGTGAACATCAATGTCTATATTCATGTCCTAAAGAGAAGACCTCCTCAGACAGCTACTGTAACATAAAGTTATAGGTCTTTGAAGTCTGAGATATATGTGACTGACATTCAATAGAGCTCATAATAGTGAACTAATCCAATCATGAGAGTGTCAGCATCACTTCCTAATTATTTAAGGTTTATTTTTAAAAACTGTCTTTATTAGGATTATTTTATGTTTAAGTTTTAAATAAACAGAGAACATGCGTCCATCCTGGCAAGAGTAGTGGTCACAATCTCAACCTAGCTAATGTATTTGGGGGGGATATATAAACTTCATAAACTGGTTTCCACAAAGAACCCATTTGAGGCACATGCTTCTGAAATGTTATGATCATTTTAAGAGTATAAAACCCCCACAATTGTTCACTTTTTAGACATGTTACTTTTGTGATTAGTAATTAATTGGTTATTATTTCTTAGTTCACAAGTAGTTCTCGATGAGGATATATTTCTTTAGTAATAATCAAATACCTACCAAGGAACTACCTTTGTACTAAATTACCTATTACTTTATGCTTAGTTAATATTGCTTCCATATTAGCTTCTGCATAGCTCCTTGTTAACTACGGACCATTATTTTAAAGTGTTACCACAAAAACTTTCAAAGACACAGTCTGTGGCATGAATTTATCTTTCTGATGTGTCGTTCAGATACTAACCTTTGTTTATCAACACCGTAAACACACAGATGAAACAGCAACTGCAGAGACAGAACAAACAAGTTCCTATAACTTCTTTAAACTCTGCCAGTACAGCAGGATATTAGCAACAGGCTTGTTTGAGATGATCAAGTTCAGCACAGAACCAATCAGTGATCACAGTACGGTACATGCCGCCGCTTAGATATGCTGTCGACCTGCAGTGATATCATGCTAACATGTGCTAACACTAACAGCCAGTCAGGCGAATGGGCAAACTAAACTTGTTATTTTGTGCGAGGGCAGGAGATCCTGTCAGTTAACATGGGATCGACCTATAGGAAAACCTAACAATCCTCCTATCTATTTGCCATGGTCAAAATCAAGTCCTGCCCCACTTTTTTTCTTGTTCTAGCTATTTTACTCTGCTATAGTATGTCACAATAAGGAAGGAAAGTCTTGTTATTAATTTAAAAATATCCCAAATTCGAGGGACATGTAATTTAAAATAAATTTAGGTAAACATAGATATTGTAAAAAAGTTAAATTTAAAAGAGACTGCAATTACTTTGTTTTACTAAAAGTAACAAGACAAATCTAAGCATACACAATGAGATAAAAGTCTTGTCGTTCATTCGCAATAACTGACCATAAACACCATAAGCAGTGAGACTAGTTTTTAGTGAATTGCTTGGTTTTCATTTCTGTGACCTCACAGGGAGCCGCATCCGCAATAAAATCTCACAGGACAAAAGTACCGCCCTTCATATATTTTAAATATAAATCATGAAGGAGAGACTGTGTAACTTTAGAATTAGATAATATTAAGGTTAAAGTTGTCATGATGCAGAAGTTGCGATAGTTTTTTCTTCCCTGTTATAATGCATATTAGAGTCAAACAGCTTCTTGAACAAGAACTTTTTTTTTTAGTGAGGGACTTAATTTAGTTTGGCTTGGCTGTCCCGCCCTCAAGTCATTAAACAGGTCATCAGAGAAGAGATGTTGATGTTGATACACTATTCCAGAAAAAATAAGAATTGTCCATTTTGATTTCATGGTGACTTCACGTGGATTGAGGTCACTGTTCAACTAAACTGTCAAAATGCATCAATTTACAACTAAATATAGTGTGTGTTACGGTATGTGGTGATTGAAATTCAAAATACTAATGCTAATGCTAACTGCTAATGACTGCGGCAAAATAATATTTGCAGACATTTCCCTGCAGATAAATCCCTTAAACATTAAATAATTAATCCATGTTTAATGTATTAATAATGTAAAAAAGTTGTTTTTCCTATTTAATCTATCTAAAATAAAGCAAATGAGGAACAAAACAGGCCAAATGTAAATACGAGCACATCTACAAAAAGACTTCTTTTAGGAATTGCGGCATTTCCGGGACACGATGCATTTTGTAAAAATAGAATTTCATTAAAAAATGGTAAACATACCCGATGACCATGGTGCCACTGTATAAGTCATATATTAATATTTTGAAGAACTACTCTTTTCGACAACAAGTGTGAAATCAAGACCCCGATCAAACTCTTCTTTATATGTAAGTTTACTTCCGGGTTACAAACTAAAATGAATAGTCAAGGTTGAGATCTTTAAAGTCTACCCATCTCACTTGGGTCACACTGTCAGAAAAAGGGTCCAGTGACATGGCCAGTAGCATAGTAGGGAAGCTGTCAAACCTCCACAGAGGCAAATGGCAAGGAATATTCCTTTATCAATTTTTTAATTAAGTAATTCTTATAACTTCCATTGTTAATAGCTTATATTATTATTGTGTAATGTCATATTATTTTATCTTTTGTTATTCCTCCCATTATAATGCTTCAAAGAACCTGTATTTTGTAGATATGCCTACCAATTGTTGAGCAGTCATAAACAGGGAATTGTGATTGGTTAAAAAATGTCAAGCTGGGTGTGTGTGTTTTTTGAGAGTGCAGCGGCAGAAGTACAACATATTCAGAGCACTACTGTAACAAAATAAGCTGCATAAACTCAGAGATTTTGTTTTGTTGGTAGAAAGCTGTTGAAAAAAATCGCATGCATCTGAAAGAGGTGCAGAAGATTTGTAAATGTCTTGATTTCGGAACGAAAGAATAAAGAAGATCTCTGTGAGTGCTCATTACTGAGTCATATGCAGGATTTGGAGACTTGATTTATGTTTTATGGTAATGTTTATTTTTTTATTTTATACTTAATTGATATAAGGTTGATTTCACCGAACTGTGTGTGATAACTGAAGTCTGATTAATTTTTTTTTTTTGTTGTTGTAATTGTGCAATGACAAGAAGCTATGCAAGTTCATATACGCTGATTTCACGCAACCGTCATTTTGAAATGGCTCTGGTGGGAAGAAAACCGGAAGTGTCGCTGTAATTCATAGGAGAGTCGCGAATGCGATGGCATATTGTTGTGTTTAATGTAGAAATTAGTTAAAATGTGCATACATTTCTTTCATAGTTTAGACTATATACAGTGAAATTTATAAATTTATAAATACATTTTTTAAATATATATTCAGAACATAAAAAAGGAAGCAGGAACGAACTATATACATATCCTGTATTGGATATTAACATCTAGTGTAAATCGTGGCAGCAGCTTCAGGTTGGTAGTCCAAGACATTGTTGTCTATCAGTACTTCCAACGCATTCTCATCCTTTAACGTCAAATAGAACGCTATATGCAAAAACGTTGCTATAGACCCTTTTACAGTTGGTAAACATGGTGACGTTTTTTTGTGGGCGGAGCTTAGGTGGAGGCAGAAAGATCCATCTGGCAGCTTGTTTTTTAACAATGACTGGAGAAAATCCATGAAAAAATCCGATTTTATCTTAATGTGTAAGATCACTCAGTGCCAGGACCGCGATTGTTATTTCCAAAAGTTATTTTTAACGGACGGAACCAGATTGGCCGACCCGTAGCCGCCTACACACCCACTCAATATATGGACGATCTGACAGGATTAACGTACGTTACCTCGGTTGAGTGGCCTGACTTCTACACCTACCTAGAGAAACCGATCTAGAAATAGAAACTGAGGGCATATAAATCTTTAGATGCCTATATGGTCCTGTACAAGACTTGTGTGTACGATCCGCAGTTCTGCCGAGCCAGCGCCGAGACCACGACAATGTAAACAGTGACATTACAGTGCGATTTTAATCATGTGAATATTTTCTAGAAATAAAAGTTCCAGATACAGCATATTCATTTTTCATCAATTCTTGCACCAAACAACACAACAAGATGACATTTAATAATAGTAACAATAATTTAAGCTCCTTATTATGTAGCCGAATCTGTACTGTTTTGCACTGGCCGCCTCCAGTTTTCATTTTGTTTTGCCTCCAGCTAGCGCCGTGATGTAACTGTGACGTCGGCGCAAAAGGGGTCTATACTACGCACATGGCACCCGTTATTTATTTTTTTTAACCAAGGGACTTTGTTTGGCTTGGTTGTCCAGCCCTCACGTCAATAAACACGTCATCAGAAAAGAGATGTCGTTGCAAGAGAGAGAAGTTATTTTGATTTAAGATAATGAGATTCATAAATAAATAAATAATAATGTGCATAGATAAATTATATATATATATATATATTAAATATATAGGATATATATTAAATATATATACAGTATATATATACAGTATATATATATATATATACATAAAAAATAAAAATTGTCCATTTTGATTTCACGGTGACTTCATGTGGATTGAGGTCACTGTTCAACTAAACTCTCAAAATGCATCAATTTACAACTAAATATAGTGTATGTTTCCATGTATTTCACTTAGTATTTTATATGCATCTCCATCATGTAAATGGTGAACTCGTCGCTAAATATGATTTAGCAGGGAGCATCTTTTAGGGAGCATCTTTACCCATATTACCCAACAGGTAAAAACCTTGCAAATATATTGAATGTACTGTAAGATCAGGTTAATGAGATGACTTTCAAATTAAAGTATCGAGACACAAAAGATTGAAATTCAAAACAGTCTAATAATGCTAAGTTAACTGCTAATGCTAATGACAGCGGCAAAATTATAGCAGACATTTCCCTGCAGATAAACAACAATAAATAATCAATCCATGTTTAATGTATTAATAACGTACAAACAGTTTTTCCTATTGAGTCTATCGTAAATAAAGCAAATGAGGAACAAAACAAACCAGGCCAAATGTAAACACGAGCGCATCTACAAAATTACTTATTTAAGGAATTGCGGCATTTCCGGGACTCCGAATCAAGATTTTGTAAAAATGGAATTTCATAAAAAAAATTGTAAAGATAACCGATGACCATGGTGCCACGGTATAATTCATATATTAATATTTCTGAAATACTACTCTTTTCGAGAACAGATGTGGGAAATCGAGACCCCTATCGCACTTTTCTTCATTTGTTTACTTCCGGCCGGCTTACAAACTAAAATGAATAGTGACGCCTGCTGTGCTGGAGTGTTGGGAACATGGTTGCGAGGGGAAAAATAAACAATGTTGTTCTGTGAAGTAGGCTGCTTTTATTGTCCTTTTTTATCAATGGCGAGACAAATATATGTGCAATGTTGAATACCAAAATTTAGGCTAATTTTAACTCGTAGCTACACACAAATTGCATGCACACAAAATTAAATAATGATTTCTTTTAGATGTGTGTTTATTACGTAAAAAGGAAAGATGGAAAGAAAAAAATTTCCATGTAAATTTGAAATAATATTTCTTCCGCACTTTCGAAAGCGATGTCTTTGGAACTATAATACCTTAATTGATTTTACAACTGAAATGGGCATTACAAAACGTCTGTCCCAAATTGGTGAGGGTCGAGGTTGTTCCCCTTTTGCATCTTTAAAGTCTACCCATCTCACTCGGGTCACTACACTGTCAGTAAAAGGGTGCCGTGACGTGGCCAGTACATTGAGAAAGCTTTCGCAAAGGACAAGGGAATGTTCCTTTCTCAATTTTTTCATCATGACATGTTGGGCTAACTATCAGCTTCATAGTGACCAAGAACCACAGCGCATCTCAGAGCAACACTCACCCATGATTCATAATGGATAATTCACCGTTTTGAACAAATCTCTTGAGTCAAAGATTCAATTACCCATTATTAAACCGCCTGATTCTGAATAAATCAGCCGTTTGAACGAATCGTTTAAGTGAATGACTCAATGACTCGCTCATTAAGACGGCCGCCTGCCGCCTCCTACTGGTGGTTTGGTTTCAAAGTATCATTCTTTTCTCACCCAAATATCAACCATCATGTAATTACTATTGCAAACTATACAAATAAACCAACAGACTCTTCAAGTTTTTCAAGAATTCTACGAAATTGTAACGTGGCGGCCTGTACACAGCCAGCTAGAATCTTTCCGTCTCAACCACAGCCAGTTGCTGCTTTCTTTCCTTTTTGCTGCTTCAGACAAGTTCTTTACTGTGCGACGCAACTCTTGGCCTCTGAATCCGACGTCTCTGAGGAACCGGATTGTGGAGTGTGCCACAAGACCTCGACAACCCACTTCCACTGGATAAACCTGGACTCTCCATCCTCGCTGTTCTGCTTCAGTTTCTTCCTCTCAAATGCTTCATCTACCGAATCCTCCCATGGCACTGTTAGCTCTATCAGTTGAACAATGCATGCTGATCCAGACCACAAAACAATATCTGGTCATACGTTAATGATGGCAATCTCAGGTGGGAAAATAAGCCGTTGATCAAGATCAGTCAGCATTTTCCAGTCCCTTGCGGCTTCCAGTTGTCCTGGGCGAGAATTGGTGTTAACACCTTTTCTTGGTGGTTGCTCACCTGGGCAGAGGAATATTGTCTTCTGCGTGTCATGTTTTTGCAGGCGGCAACTTATTGGTCATACTACGCTTGCCCTCCAATGCTAAAGCCAAACATCGCAGTACTTGGTCATGGCGTCAAGTAAACCAGCCTTGGCTAAGAGCCACCTTACATCCTGTCAGAATGTGCCTTAATGTGGCAGGTGATGAACACAAAGGACAAGAGGGATCCTCTCCTACCCAGAGGTTTAGGTTCTGCGGTGATGGGATAACATCATATGTTGACCTGATAAGGAAACTGATCCTACTCTCTTCCATTGACCAAAGGTCTTGCAAGCCCATCTTGCGTTGTTCCACACTCTCCCATCTCATCTCTCCCAGCTTGGCCTGGGAAATGGCCTTTATACACCGCATCCTCTCCTCCTGCTTTCGCACTTCGTTGACTACCAGCTTCCTCCTTTGAGCCAGGCCTGCCTTGTACCATTTAGGAGGAGCTAAACTGAGCCCAATACCCCCAGCAATAACCGACAACATCAGCAGTAACATACAGCAATAACCTACAGTAGCAATATTAGCAGAAGCAGGAATAATGCCAATGTGGCTTCACTAATGTCCCTTGTCTTGTTCCCCACAACAACTAGCAGAAATATTATGGAATTATGTTTGGATTTACACTATGGCCAGCCAGACACATCACACCCATATGATTTGTGAAACATTTAAAGTCAAAACCACTGGCATGTAGATTTAGTCCTTCTTAACAGCTTCTACAGTACTTCCAGTTAATCCTCTGTCAAGTAAAAAAATAAAATAAAAATAAAGATTAATAATTTAACTCCAGTAACCGTTTCTATATTAACCTTAATTTGTGTATTGACAGAGCAGGAAACAAGATTTGTCTTCAGTGGAATTACGTCCAAGAACAGTAACATGCACATTCTCTTTCACTGATCATCTCAGGATTTATCTCATGGACACTGGAGCTTATCAGAACTGCCTCATTGTCCAGCCACTTTGTCACTGAATCTTCTGATAGTTTTCTGAAAACCATTTCAGATTCATATCTTCCTTTTTTTTGATGGTGTCATCTAACATCTTTGACTTTCACAATTCAGGAAGTCTATTTTTCAGTATGGTCCCTGTTCCCAGGAAACCAGTTCTCTTCATCTGACATTTCCATGGTTAGAAGTAAATAAATAGATGATGTAAAATTCCAACCCGATCTCACGACCAAGTCGTACGAATTTGATGAATGATTAAAAATGGGCTAATTCGTAACAATTCATACGACCTCACTCGTACGAATTAATACGATTTTGCTAAATCGTACATATTTTTTGAATTGGCCGATTCGTATGGATTCGTACGAATGACCTACCCCTGACCCCGCCCCTAAACCTAACCATTATGTGGGTTTAGACAAAATCGTACGAATTAGTACGAGTGAGGTCGTACGAATAAGTACGAATTAGACACTTTTTAATCATACGTCGAATTCGTACGAATTGGTCGTGAGATAGTGTTGAAAATTCAGCAGTGAAAAGAGAGACTACACAATTTTTTTCTGCTCCAACAGGATTTTCCAAAGAGAAGATAAAAATATATACAGATGGATAGATTATGGAGGTCAAAAAAGAAAGATGTCAAGTTTGTCTCTCTCTCAGTTGCTGTTTTAAAATCAGAAGATGAGAAATTGTCTGTTAAGTGATGATGTAAACACTCAAGAACACTGATCTGATATAATACACGCGGCGCCTTCATTACGTACACCTTGTTAGAACTGTGTTGGACCTTTTGCCCTCAGAACTGCCTTAATTCTTCATGGCATATATACAGTACAACAAGGCACTTGAAACATTCCTCAGAGATTTTCAGACAAAAAAAAGGTTGGGGACCACTGAACAAACTTTTTCCTTTGCATTTTTCGCATACAGATGGCAACCATTGTCAAAACGATCCCTGTTCACACAGATTCATAAATGGCCATTAGATCTCACTCATGATGAAAACATGTTGATTACTGTGTCGCGCAAACGCCCCAAGTTTGTAACTGGAAGCTCTGCATTCTTGTCATCTCTTACAGTGACAAACTGAAGTTGCAACACTATCTCACGACCAATTCGTACGAATTTGACGCATGATTAAAAAGTGTCTAATTCGTACTAATTCGTACGACCTCACTCGTACTAATTCCTACGATTTGTCTAAACCCACGTGATGGTTAGGTTTAGGGGCGGGGTCAGGGGTAGGTAATTCGTACGAATTCATACGAATTGGCCAATTCGTAAAATATGTACGATTTAGCAAAATCGTATTAATTCGTACGTGTGAGGTCGTATGAATTGTTACGAATTAGCCACTTTTTAATCATTCGTCGAATTCGTACGACTTGGTCGTGATATGACAGGAATGTGTGAGAGATACAGTAATTCAGAAAATTATCATTTAAATAACTTTAATTATTTAAGGAGGAGAACAGAACCACCAATTACAGCCGTTACTGTTTCCTGAAGAGAAATGAAAGAAACTTTCAAAGACAGTCTGTGGCATGAATTTATCTTTCTGATGTGTCGTTCAGATGCTCACCTTTGTTAATCAGCACCGCAAACACACACATGAAACAGCAACTTCAGAAACAGAAAAAACTATTTCCTTTAACTTCTTCGATCTCAACCAGTACAGCATGATATTAGCAACAGACTTGTTGATATTAGCAACAGATGAGCAAGTTCATCACAGAACCAATCACCGGTGATCATAGTGCGGTACATGTTGCTTAAATATGCTGTCCGTCCTGCTGTGATGTCATGCTAAAATCTTTTAAGTTTGAGATTTTTTTGGGAATGAACGTCCCAGTTCACGGGAAAATGGCCGACTCCCTCATCAGTTAAAATGGCCTTAAAATGGCCGACTCCCTCATCAGTGCCCTTCGGCTACTACTGAAGTAGTAGAACACTCAAGAACACTGATATACTGATATAATACACACTTGGTCTTACCTGTGTGATAATTCATATTTTTATGCTCCATGACCACGCTCATCTATCTCAAGTTCTAAACCTGTTCATCATTCCCATCTCTGTTGATCATCTACCCTTCTCTCTTATTTTCTATCTCTATTCTGGTTTCATTCACACTGTATCCAATTTCATTTTCAGATATGATGGGAATGACCGACTGACAATGATGGTCAACACAACATAAGGTGGATGAGATGGAAACAGTGGGTGGAGCTGATCCGCATCTCATCCATTTCTTGAGTTTTCCCCAGAAACACAGAAGAGGGACCGAAAGGATGATCACTTTAAAGCAAAACTAAACCGTGGCACAGTCAAAAAGTAAAAATAGCTCAAGGTAAGTCAAGAGTTCTCAGAGTTGTGTTTCTTGGTAGGGACCAGCAGTTTATTCGCCGATTTTGTATTTCTGTTGTTTAAGGTCATTCTTATCATATCTGCAAAACAATTGGATACAGTTGATAAACTTTTTTTTTAAGGAAAATTAAAATAAGCTGTGTACATTTATTTAAAAAAGTTTATTTTTTTTTCTTTGCTTGAAGCAAATATTAGTGAACACATTCAAGATAATGTTTTATTTGCAAGAACTGTAACTGGAGTAAAGTCTACTTCAGCTTTCTCAGATGATAAAGGACTTTTCTTGACTATATTGAAGTAAATTTTCAGGTTAATAAAAATACCTGCTGCGCATGTCTGATCTTTTCACCAATAGTTAGTTGACATCTTTTACTGTACATCTGATGATATCAATACTCAAGCGAGGGCTCCCTCTGCTGGCGTGGCGTTACAGGTCCTGAAGGCCTTCTGCTGTTTCGCTCATATTTGCATTTGGCCTGGTTTGTTAATTTTACTTTATTTAAACTAACAGGAAATTTTTTTTATGTTATTAATAGATTGAAGGTGCATTCAGTTTAGCTAGTTAGCATCGTTTATAAGTAGGCTACCATAACAACAATTGTGTTTGGCGCTGTACTTGCAGGCTATCAATGTGAATCAGCATTCTTGAGTTGAGTGTAAATTACACTAAAAGTGAGTTTTAGAGAGTGATTCAAACAATAGTAAATTATCTAATATTAAAAGGGATAGTTCACCCTGAAATGAAAATTAGCCCATGATTTACCCACCCTCAGCCATTTCATGGGAGTACATGACATTCTTCTTTCAGACGAATACAAGCACACAATCCCCCCCAGAGCCTTGTGAATAACTTTTATCATGGATAGATGCGCTTTGATGGACTTTAAAAAAGAAACAGCCATTAACTGCCCATTCGGACGTGATTGAACCCTCACAACCTTAGAATGCGTGTTCTGAAGAAAGCATTTATCAGTTTTCAGACGCAGCCCATGACTTTGCTGTTGCTAGCGTGATGATCGACAGGTTGTGTTAAACTTCCTGAAACTTTATTTTTTTCTTCTGTTTTTACAGTTGTTGTTTCATCTTTATCTGCAGTGCTGCTAAATATAGGTGAGCACCTGAACAACACATTTGAAAAATAGGCCTTATGTTTTATATAAATGCCACTCTCAAATAATAGAGAGTGGGATGATTTACATGGACATGATTTAGTCATGCCATGTGGTTGAAACAAGTAAAACTAAATAACTCAACCAAAATTAACAGTGTGTAAAAATGGTTGACATTAACGTATGACGTTTTCAATTTTAAGCGTTGTATAAATGAAGTGGATGATCAGACGGTTGAAGTTCATTAATGTTTCAGTCTGAATGCAGCTGAATGGATCTGTTGCCTTTGTCACAGTGCAATAATGTTGTTGTTTTTCTTCACTTTTTCTTGCAGAATCAGCAAAGAGTGGAGACATCATTGCTTTCGCTCTGGGTTTGCATTGTGTTACCTGTAATTGATCATATTTCTCAAGAAAAATAATTAAAACTGCCTTATCCCCTTCTTTCATGACTGAAGGAAACAAATGACATAAACGTAATATACACAAAAGTTTGACTTTTCACTTTCTCTAACTTTTCTAGCATTTTTTAAAATATATATTTAGTTGATTTATGACAAGTTATACCATTTGCACTGTATTATACTTATAACAGAATGTAATTAATAACACAATAAGATCTTGACACTCAGACAGTAACATGGTTTGCTAAAGGACAAATGAGTCTTTACCACAAGTGTTCTGTCATCATGATATTTTTACTGTTGTTAAATCTTTTTTGAGATCTTTATGGATTACTAGATCTTTCTTAAGATTAAAACTGCACTTCATATTTTCCTTAATTGTGTGTTTGTGGACTTTTATGTTATTAAATAATAAATTAAATAAGCTCAGTCACTCTTCCTCTGTGTGAACTGAAGCCTCTGAGAATGACCCTAGATTCATGTGAATATAAACTTATCAAGTGTGAAGGTGCTTTACATGATGTCTAAAGCTCTGATATGAAATGTGTAGATCTATAGTATGAAGTGCAGAAGTGTTACAATGTACAGGTATGGGTGTCCACTTGAGGTTAAGAAAACTGTGAGAATTGAGAAACATAAACATATAAAGGTTTTGACACTTGATTCAGTTAAACATCCACTCTAGACGAAGGTGAGAGAACCGACCAGTGGAACATATTTGTGGTTTTGGTTCAGAACCTCAGCTGAGTTTTCCACTCTGCAGACCGTAGACTCTTTTTTTATTTTTAATAATTTTTATTTTAGTAAAAAATGTGACAATTAGCACCAGTCTCGTCTGATATCACAATGTAAAATAATTTATTCTTGACATGAAGTATATAAAGCACATGATATTTTAAGAACATGTTATATAATCAAACACAGATGCTGTCGCTTAATATCATCCATGCCAGTGAACTGAAAGAGCAACAAAGAAAACAATATTAAGCTTTTTATTAATATTAACAATAATCAAAACAAGAGGCTCTATGATTTCTTCAAATAGGAGCAAGATTTCTTAACAATTATCGAAACTTACAGTAATGAATTTTACTAAAACTATTAATGGTTTCACATATTCATGGTTTCACCTTATTCTGCTGTTAGTCGGTTTGGGTTATGAGACTGATATATAACTCGTGTCTGAAGGAGATCAGGATCATATTTTTCCAACTGTTCTGTTTTTCCAACAGCAAAAACTAAAAATAAGACAAGGAATCCAGATTTAATATTTACTCAAGGGAGATTATTCTGTTTTAAATGATAAAGATACTGTATATGAAGACACCTAATAACCAATATATATATATATATATATATATATATATATATATATATATATAAACGAAGTAATGAAACCCTTAATATGCCCGAGAAGAGTGTCATATTGATATTTTAGGACTACAGTATAACTCATCTTATATCTATACATCTATACATATATAACTTTTTTAATTAAAGAATAACTCACCTATCACCACAATGAGCAGAAGCCCGTTCATCAGTCCAGATATGATGATAATAATCTGACATTGTGTCTGATTCTGATCAATACACTCCACTGCTGTATGATTGTGACATTCGGTTATTTGAGTTGATTCTGGAAAGAAAGTGTTCAGAGTAGTGACTTTAATATTTAAATAATTTTCATCTCTGTGTGTGCAAAATTATGTTGTTCATGAGTGTTTAAAAAAGAAGTAGTCATAACAAATGTAATTATTCACATTAATCATCAATATGTTCTGATCAATAGAGGAGTAAATTAACTCACCGGTGAAGTGCAGTCTGGTGCCGTTGCTGAGTTTTGGAGGAGTGTCTGTGTTCATACAGTAATAAACTCCTAATTCATCAGCGGTTACATTATTAATAACCAGACGGTGTTTAAACTGCACAGAATATTTCTTTCTGAATGTTTTATTTGAGTAAAAAGGGGATATTGGTGTTGGGAATGACCGTAGAATCACTGTTGGAGGATCTGGTGTTTTCAGTAAAATCCAATAAACCTCATTTTCATCAAGATCACAGTTTATGGTCACATTTGATCCCAGATCAGTGAGTTGATCTGATACTGCAGCTCGACAACAGATTAACACATCTATAAGATAAAATAAATAAATAGACATGCATAAAATTCAGTATTACCCAATTAAAACCACCGTGAAATATAAAACAATGGATGATTTATAATAAAACAATTTAGTTTAAGTTTGTAAAGTGCATGTAAATATATTGTTATATAAACTCACAGAGCTGAAGCTGAATGATCTTCATGTTGTGGAGATGAAAACACTTCAGAATGATTCTGCTTCCCTCTACACAACATTAAGATGAATCTACTGCAGCTCTGAAGAAAACACAGGAAGACAAAAAACCTTCCACATCGAGCGACTACAACACCTACTCTGACCACAACACCTAATGCCCTTATTAACATCAACACTATTCTTAAAAAAACATTGTGCTTTTATAACCACTGTTGAGCTTGTTTGATCTTGAACACATAAACTTGACGTGTGTTTCATTAAAGGTGCATTCAGTAGTTTGCTTTTAATAGATTTTGTCATGTTGAAATGATGTGAACTGCTGTGTTTTATTATTGATCAGAGTCTGAATTAATGATCTATTTTTATAGACCAACCCAGAAGTTCGCATCACCCTGGTTCCCTCGACAAAAAGCCAACAGAATTTCCCATTGTCTTATTGCAGAAAAATCTGTGACCATTAACAGTTTATGATTATTATGATAATAACATCTTTTTGTCAGAAAGGATTATCTTTATAGGGAGCAAATATTGGAATTTAGTCAATAAGACAATGTTCTAAAAAAGTGGCTTATGACAAATCAGTTGTGTAAACATTTTTCTTCAAAATTTTGCCTTCACTGTTCATGTTTTCACGATTTGTTATCACAACATTATTTCTTTTGTCAAATCAACTTAAATTATTTATTTAGTTCAGATAACATATTATTTTGAGTTTCTGATGGTTAAATTCATCTTCTTCATTGTATTAACTCGCATTTTCCATTTGAATCAACTTAAAAATTTAAGCCAACCAGGTTACTTACTTTTTTTAAGTTAAACCAACAATATGTTTTTACAGTTATAGGGACTACGGATGTAATGTTGCTATAATCTGGCTTTTTTACATTTTGTATTTCATTTTAATGTTCATTTACATGCTTTGTCCCTATCAAATAAATAAACAAACAAATGAACACAACTTTTATGAAATTTGAGACCTAAATAAAATCACCAAAAATAAATTGTAAATAGCTAAAATTAGGCTACAAACAAACGACTTTAACATCACCCACATCAAGATTCCTTCAAAAATACATAATCTCTGCAACACTTTCTTGGCTGCCGCCTTAGAGAATTGCTATTTGGTGATGTGATGACCAAATTACTTCTTAAGATAATTAGACTGTTCTTTATAATTCACCATATTGTTTAACACATTGGTATCGTTAACTAACGAACATGAGAGTCAGTGAAACAGGCAGAGAAACATTTGAAGAGTTCAGATGCAAAAGCCTCTAAATGCTGTAGGATTGAAAAGAATCCAAGACATTTGAAATGATCTTTACTGTGTTCCACCCCTTCTTTTAACCACAAGGACCATTGGAGGATCAAAGACAGAGGAGCTGATAGTGATCAAGGCCTGTAGGCCAAGATTGTGTACTTTGTGGGGTCAATGAATTGTCACACCTTTAGAACACTGGGGGAAGTGTAATTATCTGATTGGTCAGTTTAAATGTCTCACATTTGGGTTTTAGTCACATGGTCAGGGAAAGGATAAAAGAAGACTGTAACTGTTGCTCTGTCTCTTGTAATGCTCTGCTCTTTCTATGCTCTGGCTCTCTCCCTTTCTTGGGGTTCTCTCCCTTTGCCTCCTTTGTTCTTTCTCTCTCTTTGTAACTATTTTAAGTGTAACCATAACCATATTTTGTCATTAAACCTTTTCAATTACAACTAAGATGCTATCTAGTTTTGATTTGGTATTGACTTTGAAGTGCTACCTATTGCAATACAATACTGTCACTCTCTATAGCAAAGCTCTCCCACATATTAAGCTATTGTAACTGCGCATATTTCCGTCGTTGGTATAAGTTGCAGTGGGTGGAATAGACAAGAAATGTGCATTTTTCTACCATCTTGCTAATAACGTTTCTTTAGTCATTCGGCAGTCTTGCAGCCTGAACCCCTGCAGGAAATCCACCCTTACAATGCCATTTGAAATTTTCTTCTAAAATGATCATTTTTATCAAGCTTATATATTTAAGTTCAGTAATTTCACTTAAATGACAATGAAGATTACCTGTGAATTGCCATTTAAGTGAAATTACTGAACTTAAATATACAAGCTTGATAAAAATGATCATTCTAGAAGAAAATTTCAAATGGCACTTAGAGGCTTTTGCATCTGAACTCTTCATTTACTAAAACACCTGACTCTAGATCTGTGGCTGAAAAACAAACATCTTCAAGGTCAATTCTGTGGAGTGACTCAGGAGGCCTGTCTCATAAATTCTGTTGAACAAACAAACTCACAGTTACAGAGATGCTTTGGAGATAAACCCCAAATAATCAGGCTTTAGTGGCCACCATACTCCCCATAGAGTGTGATCTGACCTCCGGGCATGGCTGGTCAGAGGACTCATGCAAGTTAAATAGCCTCGACTGAAGGTCTCCGACTGTGACTCACGAGACGAAATAACCAGCAGAAAGATGGTCTTAAAAGACATTTTTCTGAAACCGAATCTAAGGCCTCAAATGGAGACAGGCCCTCTAAAACTATTGCAAAGTTGAGTTGCTTTATTAGGTTAAAATAGTGTCTCAGAACAGGGGATCACTTAATCAGTCTCTTCTTCTTCACGGCTATGACGGGTGTTTACTGTTGTTAAATCTATTTTTGAGATTTTTATGGATTATTTGTCTTTCTGATGATTAAAACTGCACTTCATATTTTCCATGTGAACTGAAGCCTCTGAGAATGACACTGGATTCATGTGAAACTGCTTTAACTGTTGAACATTCACATCAATATAAACTTATCAAGTGTGAAGGTGCTTTACATGATGTCTAATGCTCTGATATGAAATGTGTAGATCTATAGAAGTAGAAGTGTTTCAATGTGGTATAGGTGTCCACTTGAGGTTAAGAAAACTGTGAGAATTGAGAAACATAAACATATAAAGGTATTGACTCTTGGTTCAGTTTGTCATCCACTCTAGACGAAGGTGAGAGAACCGACCAGTGGAACATATTTGTGGTTCAGAGACTCAGCTGAGTTTTCCACTCTGCGGTCGGGGGGGGTCTTTCTTTTACGCTGAATACAATGACATATATTTACAGTAACAATATATCAAATATTTTTCTATATAACATATAAATGAAAAATAAAATGCATATATAATGTTATATATCAGATTCTTAAATTGTGTTATATTTTTTATTCATGAGAATATTTTTAGATTACAAAAGATAATAATTCGAAATATTACACTTTTGACAAGAACCATGAATATTATATATATTAATAATTACTGGGTAATAGCCTTAGTAATAATAGTTAGCCATGCTGGGAAACCAGGACAGAAAAAATGTTTGTAATTGTACTTTGTCAAGGTCAAGTGGAAATGTATCTGGCAAAAAAACACACAAAGACTTAAATTATAATAACTACACTTCAATATGTATTGATAACTACAAGAACATGTTTAATGAGCCTTTTTCCAAACCAATGAATGTTCAAAAGTTGAGATGAAAAATGTAACAATTAGCACCAGTCTCGTCTGATATTACAATGTAAAATAATTTATTCTTGACATGAAGTATATAAAGCACATGATATTTTAAGAACATGTTATATAATCAAACACAGATGCTGTCGCTTAATATCATCCATGCCAGTGAACTGAAAGAGCAACAAAGAAAACAATATTAAGCTTTTTATTAATATTAACAATAATCAAAACAAGAGGCTCTATGATTTCTTCAAATAGGAGCAAGATTTCTTAACAATTATCGAAACTTACAGTAATGAATTTTACTAAAACTATTGATGGTTTCACATATTCATGGTTTCACCTTATTCTGCTGTTAGTCGGTTTGGGTTATGAGGCTGATATATAACTTGTGTCTGAAGGAGATCAGGATCATATTTGTCCAACTGTTCTGTTTTTCCAACAGCAAAAACTAAAAATAAGACAAGGAATCCAGATTTAATATTTACTCAAGGGAAGATCATTAGAAATATATACAGTATTTCAAAATACCTAATAGCCTAAATAGAAAAAACAAAAAAAAAAAACAAGTAATGAAACCCTTCACATGATCGAGAAGAGCGTCATATTGACAGTGTTGGGAGTAACGCATTACAAAAGTAATACATTACTGTAACATATTACTTTTTGTAACGCAGTAGTGTAAGGCATTACTAATCAATTTTCAGTAATATTTTACTCGTTACATGTTCAGTGAGGCTTGTATTACAGTTGTATTACAGTGTATTGTCTGCTTTTACTTCTTAAAGGCAACAGACTGTGTGAAAGTTTTAAAGCAGTCTTTTAGTGCCAGTTCAGAGCGGTCGCGTCTGTAACGCGTCTGTTTTTTCCTCATAAATGCGAACACGAAAACTAAAATAAAATGAATATTTTAAGTTCTACGGAGACTGGAGAGCCAACCCTTCCTCATCCGGTTTGCGCAGTGTAATTAACAGAATTACAAAAAACATATTTTGCCTCCTATTTTTTTGTCACGCATGAATGTGTGTCTTTTCCCTAATATTAAAAATAAAACATAGACTGATATTTGTCTAATGTCTGGAGTCCTTTAAGGAAGTAGCCTATATATGTTTCAATACATGTATTTTCTGAGAATTTTTATTTCAAGTTTGACTGCAAATGTCATGTCCATAATGCTGGACTTCCCCAATTTTCAATAATTTATCCTCAACTAGTTTTGTGGTTAACTTCAAATGTTAACTTCAAATAATACTAATAGCCTAATTTAAAGATAAGGCAGCATTGGATCTGGACGGTAAGGAGAATAACGCTGGAGTTGGAAGAGGTGTGTCGCGATTCTGTAGGTTCGTGGATCTGAGTCGTGTGGCGAATGGCGATTTCGGTTTCATATTGCATATCGTTACAGCCCAAAAGTTAAGTTCTACTTAGTTATTTTGGTGAAAGTAACTCAAAAGTAATACATGAGTAATGTAACGCATTACAATTCTGAGACAGTAATATTGTAAGGTAATGAATTACTTTTAAATAACAGTAACAAGTAATACCTAATGTATTACAGTTTGGAAGTAACTTGCACAACACTGCATATTGATATTTTAGGACTACAGAATATTTCATTTGCTTATTAAGTTTTTAGTTAAATAATAACTCACCGATCAGCAAAATGAGCAGAAGCCCGTTCATCAGTCCAGATATGATGATAATAATCTGATACTGTGTCTGATTCTGATCAATAAACTCCACCGCTGTATGATTGTGACATTCAGTTTGTTGAGTTGATTCTGGAAAGAAAGTGTTCAGAGTTACAGTAATAATCGACTGACTTTAATATTTAAATAATTTCCATATCTGTGTGTGCAAAATTATGTAGGAGTAAATTAATAGAGGAGTAAATGAACTCACCGGTGAAGGTCAGTCTGGTGCTGTTGCTGAGTTTTGGAGGAGTGTCTGTGTTCATACAGTAATAAACTCCTAATTCATCAGCGGTCACATTATTAATAACCAGACGATGTTTAAACTGCACTGAATATTTCTTTCTGAATGTTTTATTCGAGTAAAAAGGGGATATTGGTGTTGGGAATGAGCGTAGAATCACTGTTGGAGGATCTGGTGTTTTCAGTAAAATCCAATAAACCTCATTTTCATCAAGATCACAGTTTATGGTCACATTTGATCCCGGATCAGTGAGTTGATCTGAGACTGCAGCTCGACAACAGATTAATACATCTATAAGATAAAACAAATAAATAAACATGGGTTAAAATTCAGTATTACCCAATTAAAACCACCGTGAAATATAAAACAATGTATGATTTATAATAAAACAGTTTAGTTTAAGTTTGTAAAGTTTGTGTAAATATATTGTTATATAAACTCACAGAGCTGAAGGTGAATGATCTTCATGTTGTCGAGATGAAAACACTTCAGAATGATTCTGCTTCCCTCTACACAACATTAAGATGAATCTACTGCAGCTCTGAAGAAAACACAGGAAGACAAAAAACCGTCCACATCGAGCGACTACAACACCTACTCTGACCACAACATCTAATGCCCTTATTAACATCAACACTTTATTCGTAAAAAACATTGTGCTTTTATAACCACTGTTTGTCACGGGGTGTTGCAGGCAGGAGAGAAGACAGAGTCCAGAATTCACACAAAGAGAACTTTACTTCCAATGGACCAGGCAAGGATACAGACGGGAGCAACACTGGGTAACATTCACAACGACCGACAAAGACTGACTGAATGAGGGAGAACTAAATACAAGCAGGAATCAAACATAATGACCATTAACAGGTGATACAGATGACGGTGATGAGCAAGACACAGGTGATGAGGGTGGACTGATGAGGGTTGTCAAGGAAACTGAAGAGTGGCGGGAAAACAAAACAGGACTAAACCAAAAACGTAGAAAACAGGGGGAAACAAAGAGTCAAACGGTGACACATATAATCCTGATATGATTGTCATAAATGTTTCATAGGCCCAATTGACATCACTCACATAAACACTTTTCCAGTCTTGTCTCAAAAGATCTTGTTTAAAAGAATTTATAGCATCTTGTGTTTTTTTTTTCTTTTCATCATAATTGTAGTAATATCTTTATTCTTCTGCATACAGTTTTGTATAATTGCAAATACTGGCAAGTGGTCACTTATGTCAGTTATTATTAGGCCACTTGAAACCGGTCTGTCAATAACGTTTGTAAATATGTTTTTTATTAGTGTGGCACTGTGAGTTGTTATTCTAGTTGGTCGTGTAATTGTAGGGTATAAGCTGTTGCTATACATTGAATTGATAAATTCTGTAGTTGAATTATGTTGTTGCGGATTTAGCAAATCTACATTGAAATCACCGCAAACAAACAGAATTTTCTTGTTGTTATGTCTATTATACAACTCCTCAATCTTTTCCCTAAATGTATCAATACAAGATCCTGGTTTCTGTACATACAGCTTATCTGAATATTTCTTTCTTTCTCTCTCTCAATTTCTACAGTGACACACTCCATAATATTTTCCATTACAAATGACTTGTTACTGACAACTTTACATTTATACATTTTATCAATAAATAGTGCAGCCCCCCCTCCCTTAGACTGGGTCCTATGAACAGAAAACATTTCATATCCCTCAATTCCAATTGCGTCAATTTGCTCATCATCAAACCAGGTTTGTGAATTTCCTTTCTAATTCATTTAAACAATGCTTAATTCCTGCTAAATTTGAATTAAGGCTCCTACTATTAAAATGTATGATTGACATTGATCCATCCATTATTATATTTCTAATTTAAATAATTTTTACTTTAGTAACAAATGTAACAATTAGCACCAGTCTCGTCTGATATTACAATGTAAAATTATTTACTCTTGACATGAAGTATATAAAGCACATGATATTTTGAGAACATGTTATATAATCAAACACAGATGCTGTCGCTTAATATCATCCTCCTCCGAGAACTGAAAGAGCAACAAAGAAAACAATATTTACATTAAGCTTTTTATTAATATTAACAATAATCAAAACAAGAGGCTCTATGATTTCTTCAAATAGGAGCAAAATTTCTTAACAATTATCAAAACTAACAGTAGTGAATTTTACTAAAACTATTGATGGTTTCACATATTCATGGTTTCACCTTATTCTGCTGTTAGTCGGTTTGGGTTATGAGACTGATATATAACTCGTGTCTGAAGGAGATCAGGATCATATTTTTCCAACCGTTCAGTTTTTCCAACAGCAAAAACTAAAAATGAGAAAAGGAATTCAGATTGAATATTTACTCAGGAAGATTATTCTGTTTTAAATGGCAAAGATATATACTGTATATGAAGACACCTAATAACCAAAGTGATGAAACCCTTCACATGACCGAGAAGAGTGTCGTATTGATGTTTTAGGACTACAGTATATCTCATTTGCTTATTATGTTTTTAATTAAATAATAACTCACCGATCACCACAATCAGCTGAAGCCCGTTCATCAGTCCAGATATGATGATAATAATCCGACATTGTGTCTGATTCTGATCAATAAACTCCACCGTTGTATGATTGTGACTTTCAGTTATTTGAGTTGATTCTGGAAAGAAAGTGTTCATAATTACAGTAATAACCGACTGACTTTAATATTTAGATTCATCTCTGTGTGCAAAATTATGCTGTTCATGAGTGTGTAAAAATCTTGAAGTCTCACATAACAAATGTAATTATTCACACTAATCATCAATATGTTCTGATCAATAGAGGAGTAAATGAACTCACCGTTGAAGGTCAGTCTGGTGCTGTTGCTGAGTTTTGGAGGAGTGTCTGTGTTCATACAGTAATAAACTCCTAATTCATCAGCTGTCACATTATTAATAACCAGACGGTGTTTAAACTGCAATGAATATTTCTTTCTGAATGTTTTATTTGAGTAAAAAGGTGACGTTGATGTAGAAAATGACCATAGAATCACTGTTGGAGGATCTGGTGTTTTCAGTAAAATCCAATAAACCTCATTTTCATCAAGATCACAGTTTATGGTCACATTTGATCCCAGATCAGTGAGTTGATCGGATACTACAGCTCGACAACAGATTAACACATCTATAAGATAAAAAATAAATAAATAAATAGACATGCATAAAATTCAGTATTACCCAATTAAAACCACCGTGAAATATAAAACAATGGATGATTTATAATAAAACAATTTAGTTTAAGTTTGTAAAGTGTGTGTAAATATATTGTTATATAAACTCACAGAGCTGAAGCTGAATGATCTTCATGTTATCGAGATGAAAACACTTCAGAATGATTCTGCTTCCCTCTACACAACATTAAGATGAATCTACTGCAGCTCTGAAGAAAACACAGGAAGACAAAAAACCGTCCACATTCAGCGGAGGAAGTCAAAAACTCTGACCACAACATCTAATGCCCTCATTACCATCAACACTATTCTTAAAAAAAACATTGTGCTTTTATAACCACTGTTGAGCTTGTTTGATCTTGAACACGTACACTTGACGGGAGTTTCATTAAAGGTGCATTTGCTTCTATAGATTTTGTCATGTTGAAATGATGTGAACCGCTGTGTTTTATTATTGATCGGAGTCTGAATTAATGACATATTTTTATAGACCAACCCAGAAGTTCGCATCACCCTGGTTCCCTCGACAAAAAGCCAATAAGATTTCCCATTGTCTTATTGCAGAAAAATAAGCTCCGTTTATGATTATTATGATAATTACATCTTTTTGTCAGAAAGGATTATCTTTAATAGGGAGCAAATATTGGAATTTTACCGATAGTTCTATATCTTTTAAAAAGTGGCTCATGACGAATCAATTGTGTAAACATTTTTCTTCAAAATTTTGCCTATATATAGGGACTGCGTGTTATGTGGATGGCTGATGAACCCAATAGCAGACAGCAACTGATTCTCAAAGGGGTTTATTAAAGGACCAAACTAAAACAAACAGCTGGTCAGAACTTCTCCACTGAGAAGTCTGATGAACATAAGTGTCCAGTGCAAGCATTGAACACAAGAGTTTCAGCTTTTCCTGATCCGAAGAGATAAAAGGACAAAAGCCTGCAGCACAATAGGACTTGGAATCATGTTTGGCACCTCAGGGACGTATCCCTGTTTTGGATACAAGAATGCCTTGACCATGACCATCCCCGGTGCAAACTCAAGGCAAGTGGGGGAACCGAAAGGGCCTGAAGGTCTCCGACTCTGACTCACGGGACGAAAAAAAACAGCAAAAGATGGTCTTAAAAGTAAGACATTTTTCTGAAACTGAATCTAAGGGCTCGAATTGAGACAGGCCCTCTAAAACTATTGCAAAGTTGAGTTGCTTTATTAGGTTAAAATAGTTTCTCTGAACAGGGGATCACTTAATCTCTTCTTTGTCCACCAAAGTCCCAAGGATGTACTATAGCAGCTGCGGAGAGAAGAGCTCTCGCTGGCGTTGACAATGGTAATGTATCCCACAGAGAATCTTCTGGACAGACCGTATACAGAGCACTCAGGTAAAAGCTTTACGACGGGTTGTGATTACTTCACGGCTATGACGGGTGTTTACTGTTGTTAAATCTATTTTTGAGATTTTTATGGATTATTTGTCTTTCTTATGATTAAAACTGCACTTCATATTTTCCATGTGAACTGAAGCCTCTGAGAATGACACTGGATTCATGTGGAGCTGCTTTAACTGTTGAACATTCACATCAATATAAACTCATTAAGTGTGCAGGTGCTTTACATGATGTCTAATGCTGTGATATGAAATGTGTAGATCAATAGAAGAACAGAAGTGTTACAATGTACGGGTACGGCAATGCTGCTGTGTCCACTTGAGGTTAAGAAAACGGTGAGAATTGAGAAACATAAACATATAAAGGTTTTGACTCTTGGTTCAGTTAAACATCCACTCTAGACGAAGGTGAGAGAACCGACCAGTGGAATATATTTGTGGTTTTGGTTCAGAACCTCAGCTGAGTTTTCCACTCTGCAGACGGGAGGCTCTTTCTTTTACGCTGAATACAATGATATACATTTACAGTAACAATATATCAAATATATTTCTATATAACATATAAGTGTAAAATAATATGTATATATAATTATATCAGATTCTTAAATTGTGTTATATTTTTTTATTCATGAGAATATTTTTAGATTACAAAAGATAATAATTCAAAATATTACACTTTCGACAAGAACCATGAATATTATTAATATTAATAATTACTGGGTAATAGCCTTAGTAATACTAGCTAGCCATGCCGGGAAATCAGGACAGAAAAAATGTTTTTAATTGTACTTTGTCAAGGTCAAGTGGAAATGTATCTTGCAAAAAAAAAAAACACAAAAAGACTTAAATTATAATAACTAAACTTCAATATGTATTGATAACTACAGGAACATGTTTAATGAGCCTTTTTCCAAACCAATGAATGTTCAAAAGTTGAGATGAAAAATGTGACAATTAGCACCAGTCTCCAGAGTCTGATATTACAATGTAAAATAATTTATTCTTGACATAAAGTATATCAAACACATGATATTTTAAGAACATGTTATAATCAAACACAGATGCTGTCGCTTAATATCATCCATGCCAGTGAACTGAAAGAGCAACAAAGAAAACAATATTTACATTAAGATTTTTATTAATATTAACAATATTTAAAACAAGAGGCTCTATGATTTCTTCAAATACGAGCTCATCAGGAATTCTTAACAATTATCTAAACTTACAGTAATGAATTTTAACTATTAATGATGGTTTCACATATTTCACCTTATTCTGCTGTTAGTCGGTTTGGGTTATGAGACTGATATATAACTCGTGTCTGAAGGAGATCAGGATCATATTTTTCCAACCGTTCTGTTTTTCCAACAGCAAAAACTAAAAATAAGACAAGGCATTCAGATTTAATATTTACTCAGGAAGATTATTCTGTTTTAGTAAAGATATAAATAATGTATATGAAGACACCTAATAACCAGAATAGTAAAAAAAAAAAGAAGTAATGAAACCCTTCACATGATCGAGAAGAGTGTCATATTGATATTTTAGGACTACAGTATATCTCATTTGCTTATTATGGTTTTAATTAAAGAATAACTCACCAATTACCACAATGAGCTGAAGCCCGTTCATCAGTCCAGATATGATGATAATAATCTGACATTGTTCCTGATTCTGATTAATAAACTCCACCGCTGTATGATTGTGACATTCAGTTATTTGAGTTGATTCTGGAAAGAAAGTGTTCAGAGTAATAACTGAGTGACTTTAATATTTATATTCATCTCTGTGTGTGCAAAATTATGTTGTTCATGAGTGTGTAAAATTCTTGTAGTTCATAACAAATGTAATTATTCGTAAATGAATGTAATCACTGTAAATGAACTCACCATTGAAGGTCAGTCTGGTGCTGTTGCTGAGTTTTGGAGTTGCGCCTGTGTTCATACAGTAATAAACTCCTAATTCATCAGCAGTCACATTATTAATAACCAGACGGTGTTTGAATTGCACTGAATATTTCTTTCTGAATGCATTATTTGGGTAGAAAGGTGATTTTGGTGTTGAAAATGACCGTAGAATCACTGTTGGAGGATCTGGTGTTTTCAGTAAAATCCAATAAACCTCATTTTCATCAAGATCACAGTTTATGGTCACATTTGATCCCAGATCAGTGAGTTGATCTGACACTGCAACTCGACAACACATTATTACATCTATAAGATACAAATAGACATGCATGAAATTCAGTACGACCCAGACCCAAACCACCACAATATATAACTTATAATAATAATAAAAAAAAAAAAGTTTAAGTTTGTAAAGTGTGTGTAAATATATTGTTATATAAACTCACAGAGCTGAAGCTGAATGATCTTCATGATGTCGAGATGAAAACACTTCAGAATGATTCTGTTTCCCTCTACACAACATTAAGATGAATCTACTGCAGCTCTGAAGAAAACACAGGAAGACAAAAAACCTTCCACATCGAGCGACTACAACACCTACTCTGACCACAACACCTAATGCCCTTATTAACATCAACACTATTCATAAAAAACATTGTGCTTTTATAACCACTGTTGAGCTTGTTTGATCTTGAACACGTAAACTTGATTTGTGTTTCATTAAAGGGGTAACACTTTACAATAAGGTTCATTAGTTAACATTAGTAAATGCATTAACTAACATGAACTAATAATGAGCAATGCATTAGTTACAGTGTTTATTAATCTTTGTTAATGTTAGTTAATATAAATACAGCTGTTCATTGTTTGTTCATGTTAGTTCACAGTGCATTTACTAATGTTATATACAACCTTTGATTTTAATAACGTATTAGTAAATGTTGGAATTAATATTAACTAAGATTAATAAATGCTGAAGAAGTATTGTTCATTCTTAGTTCATGTTAACTAATGTGGTTAACTAATGTTAACTAATGAACCTTATTGTAAAGTGTTACCATTAAAGGTGCATTCAGTAGTTTGTTTCTAATAGATTTTGTCATGTTGAAATGATGTGAACTGCTGTGTTTAATATTGATCGGAGTCTGAATTAATGATCTATTTTTATAGACCAACCCAGAAGTTTGCATCACCCTGGTTCCCTCGACAAAAAGCCAATATGATTTCCCATTGTCTTATAGCAGAAAAATCTGTGACCATTAACAGTTTATGATTATTATGATAATAACATCTTTTTGTCAGAAAGGATTATCTTTAATAGGGAGCAAATATTGGAATTTTACCGATAGTTCTACTATCTTTTAAAAAGTGGCTCACGACGAATCAATTGTGTAAATATTTTTCTTCAAAATTTTGCCTATATATAGGGACTGTGGATGTAAATTAGTAATGTTGCTTTATAATCCGGCCTGTTTACATTTTGTATTTCATTCTAATGTTCATTTACATGCTTTGTCCATATCAAATAAATAAACAAACAAATGAACACAACTTTTATGGAATTTTGAAACCTAAATAAAATCACCAAAAATAAATTCTAAATAGCTAAAGTTAGGCTACAAACAAAATACTTTAACATCACCCACATCAGGATTCCTTCAAAAATACATAATCTCTGCAACACTTTCTTGGCTGCCGCCTTAGAGAATTGTTATTTGGTGATGTGGTGACAAAATTACTTCCTAAGATTATTATTGTGTAGACTATTCTTTAAAATTCACCAGTATCAGTGTAGTTTGAATAAAATGTTGTTTATTGGTATCAGTAACTAACGAACATGAG